AGCCCTCGAACGACTTCGCATATGTTGCGACAGAGTGAGCGATGAGCTAAGAAGGGTCATTCAGTCAGCTATGCATTTACCATTGGATCCGTGTTTAACTTACCTTGGTATTAATCTCCCAAGCAGCGAGACTCAGATTCTCCACAGTATCACAAATCTGGTGATAGCAGGGGTCGAACCACTTGCCTGCCTCGCCTCCAAACATCTTCGCTTCCTCATCTGTCTTGACACCTTCTGCACCCGTAGCAATGCCGCCACCGGGAATGTCATTATCGATGAATCCGACATAGTCACTGCGTCCGTCAAACGGAATGAAAGTGTAGTTGAGCCCATGCGACTCGTAGAACTCTTCGTAAAGAACGCGTAACTCCTCCGATCCTTTGGGGTTCTCAGTGTTGGTGGCATTATAGATCTGGTAGGCGTAGTTGGGAGATGCCATCATGTCGTAGTCCATGAATAGACGAATCTTGAGGTTCTCCTCAGGTGTCAAGTGATAGGCAAAGTAGTTGGATCCGAGCAAACCTTCCTCTTCACCCGCCCACCATGCAAAGCGAACACAATTGTTGACTTCGTACTTGCTGAGCTGAATGGCGACTTCCAGAAGTGAAAGAGAACCAGAACCGTCATCGTTGATGCCAGGACCTTCGGCTACGCTGTCACTATGACCACCAAGCATGACGCAGTTGTCAGCATCGCCTCCTGCGGTCTGAGCAATGATATTCACGGTCTTTATCTTTTCCACAACAGCATCGATGTATGCGATGGAATCAACCTTGGTGCCATTTTGCAGATCTTCCAAGTAAGGAGCGGCCTCTTCTGCAGACAGTCCAAATGTTGGTACATGGTCAGGTGAAGGCTCACCCAAGGTTCCTTGCAAACTACCCTTCTCGTTGTTGTAGATGATGGCAGCCACTGCACCGGCCTTTCCTGCTCCAGAAGACTTGTCGCCAAACGGACAAGATCCCCGGCGAATGAAAGCGATGGAGCCTGTCATGTTGGCAGGATAATCACTTGCTGAGCACCCATCATTTGCAACTACAACCAGAGGTCCATAGACTGGCTCTTTGTGTGGCGTGGGAGGTGTCAATCCCATCGGAGCGGCTGACTTGGGTACATCATGACCAATGACAAGGCGTGACTCAAACACGTTTCCTGTTACTGCATCGAATGTCTGATTTGTGATGGTATAGTAATCACCAAGAGAAGCAATCGTAGAATAGATGTAGTCAATTGTACCAAGATGGCCTGCCTGAGTGATGAGTCATGAAACAATCACAGGAGACCAAGTATATATCACCTTTACTACCGATGACTCGGGTGGGATGGTTATACTCGTCAAAACCGAGATCAGCAATCTTTGAGAGCTGTTTCGCTCGGTTAAGGAGCTTGTCTATAGTTATATCGCTTTGAAGTCCGGAAGAGGTGACTAGACCGCTCTTCCCGGCGGGATTGAGGGTCGCCTGAGCGCCAGAAGAATACTGGAGAGGTATCTGCGCAGCAGTGGCAGCACCGATGTATGTGAGGAGGCGAAGAATCGACATCGCCGTGGTATTTGATCTGTAAGAGAAAGATGAGGACGAAGATGATATGGAAGGAGGATGAGTCGATGACCAGATATGGCAACACGCACGTGCCTGCCGATCGTTGACAAGCTAAGGTACGATTAGATAAGGTCGTTATGCGGACGGATCGTGCGTCAGAGTTGCGAGCATTGGCCAACTGCGGCTGAAGATAAGGCCTTAAACAAGCACTCCAAATTTCGAAAATAGGTACTCCTCAAACAGAGGGTAATGAAACTCGCTTTTTTGAGATCCAAGATACGTATCAGCGTGCTGTGCGATTCCTCTGGCTCAGAAAACAGTAAAAATGACTCTATCCCCAATCGGTGCGGCTGATTGTGTTCGACAAATCAATGAAGACAGGTTGATAATCTTTCAGTGATTGCAGACAAGAGAAAGCGATAGATCTAGTGGAAGACTTCTTTGGTCTCACTACTTTCAATGGCACAGGCAAAAAACACCATGACGAAATAGACGCTCTGCAGAGCATCTGGAAACCGGAAGCGGAGACACCCATCTATGGACTCTAATGTTGAAGTAGAAGCGCAAAACACATACTGAAGTGCTGCGCAAAAATACATGATATGTACACGTTCGATCACGCCTTCACGTTCAGTCTGTACCCATTTCTAGCAATTTTCAGCCCAATGTATACGAGTCCAGCCACACATATCGAAACACCACCAAATGTCCACAAGCCGGTCCAATTCAATGGATCAGCTTGACCCAGAATGCTACCTCCACCTGGTCCGCCTGCCAACGCACCGAATCCGACGATGCCAAAGCCCATGCCTATCCTCGTGCCGATCCTCGTCTTGTCTTTGGTCAAAGCAACGAAGCATACTGGGGGCAAGGCGATGAAGACCCCGCTGGTGAAACCAGTAAGTACCGCAACAACTATGATTGCTCCTTCGCTCGTGATTGCCAGCATGCAAAAACAGAGCACTCCAGTTATTAGAGAGCCTGGTATGATTAGGTTGAGTGGGCCAGTCTTGTCCGAAAGAGCATTAGGGACCACGCGACCGAAGCATGACGCGGCGTTGAAGATCGGGACGAGGTAAAATGCCATACTGGTGTCTGTGATGCGTCGAGCTTCCGCGTAGTAGGAGAGATAAAATAGTATAACATAGAGGCCCATGAAGCCAATGAGTGTGGCGACTGTAAACACCATGTAGGGAACGTCTGTGAAAGCGGACCAGTCGATGAGTGCTCTTGCCTTTGGCGCCTTGACGCGCGTCTTCAGGACCGTGATTGGAATAATCAGAGTTCCAAGTGCAATGAAGCCCATGATGCGTACTGACCAGCCAAAACCGACCTGATCGATGAGCTTGTACAGTACGATTGGGTAGATTATACCACCGAGCGATGATCCTGCTGCTGCTAGGCCTACAGCAAGGCCAAGTCTTGTGCTGAAATATGTAGGAAGGACAGCTACGCAAGGCACAAATAGGCATCCAGCTCCAATTCCGATGCAAAAGCCCTGCGCAAGCAGAACCTCCCAGTAAGTCTTGCAGATACTGAGCATCATATGTCCGAAAACAATTCCAAAGCTACCAGTGAGCAGCAGCGCTCGAAGGTAACCTCTGTCGTAGATTGGTCCAGCGAAAACACCAACCACCAACACCATGTACGATTGAATTGCGCCAACCCATGAGATGTCTGAAGAGGATGCTGTGAAGAGTGCGTCCGATTCGTAGTAAGTTTGAAAGACACCGAATGCATTCAGGATGCCCCAAGTGTTGAAGAATAACATGGCGCCACCTAGCACCTGCAGCCATGCTTGAAGCCCGCCATTGGGTGGAGGGCCAGGATTATTGTGCGAAAGACTGGCAGGTGTTTCGGTCACTTCAGGGTTGACAAACTTCTCTTGCGGAACAGGAAGGGACGATTCGGGATCCACAGTCTGCTCAGAGCTGTCACTTTCCTGTGTCTCGTTTCCCATGTTGAGAATGATATTCCGGTGAGTGTGACCAGATTTCAAGGTAGCCGAAGATGAAATTGTGCCTACGATGTTTCAGAGGAAAAACATGAGCTGACATTCCTTGAACCTATATTCTTCGCTCTTCGGTGTTTAGGGACTATGGTGCGACCGAGCTCCCTGCAGCATCCGCCAAATGCAGTAATGTCTGTCGGTCTCCAGCTCCGGCGACTGAGAATCCACAGACGTCACGGCCCGTGCGTAGTAATCGAGGACGCAATCACAGCAATAATGCGAAGGGCATTAATATTGTGAGACCTGATGAAACTCAGGCGCCTGTCAGTACCTACAGTAAGGTGACACCAAGTCAACAGAAGCTGTTTTGACGCAGTAGTGGCAATCAAATCTGGACATAGTCCACGGGTGCGTAGGGGACGAGTGGGTGGTGGGGCTGAACAATGGACAAAGGTACAAAGAAGGCAGCCAAACAGTGCAGTACAAAAGTGGCACCAGAAGGATTGCACCGATGACGGACACCCAACGAACTGGTCACACAGTGAGATTGAGTGCGGTGCGTTTGACCGTCTGCAATCCCTGCAGGTGCCCAAGTAACAGATGATCCACGGTGGATACATGATCCGCCTTAATATCCTCTCACCGGAGCTCCGGGCGCCCTGCATGCCTGATGTGTCGCATAGGGCTAGTATTTGGTGCACTCTTCACCTCGCTCCGCCGTCGTGCTGACTTTGTGCTCTCTTGATCAAACATACATAACGAAGACATGGTGGTGACAAAGATAGAAGTCTGCAGGATATGACACGAATACGAGAGTAAGCTTTTGGTGCAAGGTAAAGTCATGATGGCGTCTTTATTCGCTGCAAATGTGTTCTGCTTTGAGTGGCCGGTACAGAATCGCATTTGAAGGACAAAGCACCATGGACGGGAAGCTCTGCACGTCCTCGGTCTTGGCGTCGATCTTCTATGTTACCTACCTTAGCGTCGTGACCCTATAGACTCTGCCGGGTAAATGCCGTAGAATCTCAGTGTACCTTGACCTGCTGCTATTCCTTATGAGCTGAACAATTGCGGCTAATAAGGATAACTAGCTTAAAAATGGAACAGCTAATCTATTTGAGTGGCTATTAAATATAACAGTTCTGATGAAAAACCCAGAGATTTACTGTTTAGAAATCAGCTGCTCTTTTCGTTGAACAGTGCTTTTTTGTCGAACAGTGTTTCTACGGTGTTTTTACGGTGTTCGTACGGTGTTTTTTCCGTGTGTTGACAAAAGAAAAAAAGAAAAATGACATTACATGCGAAAGTACTTTTGACTAAAGCGGGAGTCGAATCGGGAACCTACGAACTTACTACAAACGGAATTTCAACTACACCAAACCTGACTAATTTAGAAGATTGGATCTGATAAGATAATCATATAGCCAATCGGATAAGACATTGTACTTTAAGAAATCTAAAGAAGCTGTACCCATCGATCAAACACCGAAGAAACACGGTAAAAACACGGCCCCGGTGGTCTAGTTGGTTAGATCTCCATCATCTAAGGCGTCAGATTTGTTTGAATACACAGAAAGTCGAGGGTTCGAATCCCTCAGGGGCCCATAAAATCTTTCCGTGGAGCTGTCCCACGCTGAAAACGAAACTTGTATTATAGTGGCTTGCCTCCCCACTATAATATAAGTTAACACGCCAAGAGAAGGCGAACAAGTGCAGAGGCACATTAACGGTTAGAGCTGAAGAATGAGACGCAGACTCCACAAATATTTGTATACTTAGTAAAGTAAATAGTAGCCGCTCATGCTTCCTGTGGTAAGCGCATAGCGTATGAATCAATCAATCAATCAAACGGTAAAACACCGCTTCTTGAAAGAGCAGAATACATAAAATAGCAGCTCAAAAAATTATGCGCATTCAAAATGAACAGCATATTTCCTGTTTATAGAAATAACAGACAATCAAGATAACGGTACGTCCTAAGATCGGCTATTTGATGTCAACGGTATATTTACAGCTCTCAAGTCTACACGGTACAACTACGGCATGACTTTACCCAGGGATCGCGTTAAGGTACCTGGGATCACGAAACTTCATCTACTATATCTGAGCCTCATCTGAGATTATCGCAGCAAACTCCTCGCATCTGAGATAAGATGCCTCGGGTGTTAAGAGTTGGCCGATTCATGCCTGCCTCTCATAGTATAGTGTTACCTTTGCATCCCTATCCATTGACATTATTATCGGATGGTGGCACAGGCTTTTTGATCTTTGAACGAAAATGCTCAAATCAGAATGGTCGTCTTCTTATCTTCTCAATACAGGTTCTCTAAAAAGGTCATCACGTCGTTGCTGTATCCAGTCCGTCCAATCCCTCACATACATATCTATAGATCCGCCGCGTCCCAAGCCCATCACCACCCCAGTCGTTTTCTAATGGCCTTGAGAAGATCAGAAAGGACAAATGGTTTTGGCACTACCGCATCTATTCCGGCTGCCAAGGTGCGTTCGATTTGCTCTCGACGAACATTGGCCGTGACAGCAATGATTTCGACACGCTTAGTGATCTGGCCAAAACGTTCCAAAGACCGTATCTCTCTGCTGCATGTCAAGCCATCCATGATTGGCATCTCCCAGTCCATTAGAACAACATCGAGCCTTATACCCGTTTTCTCCTCCCCTGCCCAGCACGATGTAGTCTTCAAGATGGCGAGCGCTTCGACACCGTGATTGGCGACATGTACGACGCAACCAGCCTTCGTAAGCTGTCTTAGCAATATTTTCTGGTTAACAACATTGTCTTCGACCAGAAGGATGTGGTATGCATGCGATGTATTCGGCAAAGCGCTAAGTGGTGGGATCCCCGCTATCCTGGCCTCTAATCCTTGTATCTCGTCTGCAGGCTCGTGATCTGTCTGGCGGAAAACTTCCAGCGGCGATTCTGAGATATCCAGTGGTGAAAGATATCCAGAATCCCATCGACGAGCTTTGATATAAAATGCAAAGGTACTCCCTTTGCCCTCCTTCGACGCGACTCCGATGCTACCGCTTTGTTTCGCCGACAATACTCGCGATATGAATAATCCAAGCCCAGAGCCTCCATATTTGATGGATGTTCTTGGATTAGCCTGTTGAAATCGATTAAAGAGTGTGAGAAGCTCATCCTTGGTCATTCCTGGGCCAGTGTCACTGATGGTGAAAGTCAGATAGACTGCTTCACCAGACCCCCATTCTTCCCCAGTAGTTACATCTTCCTCGGTTTTATTGGAATCGTTTTGTGTCGCCCACAGTATATCCTGAGGCAGTGATTGCTGTGGATCAGACAGAGAGGCGCCGTAGCGTAACCAGATTATGCGTCGCTCTTCACGTTTCGTGAATTTGATGGCGTTCGACAAAAGATTGATCAGTATTTGTGTTACCCGTAGCGAGTCACAAAGCACCCAAGATACACGCAATTGCTCGAGAGAAGGTTCCGGCAGCAGTTCAAGCCTGGTTCGACTTGAAGAAAGATCGGCTTCGACAATCTTCAATGTTCCATCTACAATGTCGAGGGGACGGACGGCAGTCGGATTAAGTGTCATAAGCATAAAGTCCATTTTTGACAAGGTCAAAACGTCGTCTACTATACGCTTCTGATGATTCGCACAAAGGAGGATTGTATTCGCAGCCTCGATGTTGTCATCAACGATTCGCTTCCAGTCCAGGACGCTCATATCTTGCTGCTGAAGTCCTTTTGAAGATGTGGCGATGGTGTCGGCGAGCTGGAATATGGCAGACAGCGGGTTCCTAACCTCGTGTGAAATAGCATCAGTGAATTCACTTTGCTGGCGCTTTGCTTCTTGGGCTTCTTGTGCGGCTCGTGCTTGCCAGGATTCAGCCCATTTAAGACGACTGACATCGGTCATGCATGCCATGACAGACTTGATTTCGCCCTCTTCTATGTATGGAAAGGCGGAAAGAATAATGGTTGAAGGTACTGGGCCACCAGACGGGGGTTGAAAAGTTCGACGCATGCGCAGCTCCATTGTCCGAACCTTTTCGCCTTGGACTACTCGCTTCCAGCTATCCTCTATTATGGGACGATCTTCGGCCAAAACTTCACTCATGAGAGGCAACAGCTCATCACCCGTGTTCAGATAGTCGCGATAAATAAGTTTGTAAAAATGTTCGTTGGCCCAAATGATCTTGCCGTCCAATGTGAGATGCTCCATTCCGATATCCAGATGTTCGGCCATATATCGGATGTGACGTTCGCTATCGGCAAGTTGATTTTGAAGGCTCAGCTGACGCTGCATGGACTCTTCCATGCTGACGGTAAAGGCAATGGTGGAGGAGACTTGGCGTGAGAGGTCGTTCATGAATTGATCATGGTCACTATCGATAGGACGCTGAGGATTGGTACCTAGAAGCAAGAAGCCAAACAGTCTCCCAGCGTTGGACAGGGAGAGTACCGCGATGTGCTTTGAGGGATCGCCATGCCCAAGCCATTCGACACCCTCGAATTCATCCCCTGTGGGTACTGTAACGACACCTGACTGCGACTTCCGGAACAGCGGAATAAGACCCTGCTCACTGTCAAGGCGAACGTGGCGGACTGCAAGCGGGTGCTTTTCTGGCACGCCAATGTTTCCCTTGAGAGTCAGTCGAACATTATCCGGCGGACAGTCTTCGTCGACTCCGTAGAGGAGGGCTAATGGGACATCCCGGGAATTTGTTTCGAAAGAACTGAGGATGTGTGATGCAATTGTTTGAATAGAATATTTTGCAGCCGGCGCAGAGATTAGGTTGAGCATTTCCATTCTTCTATCCGAGAGCTTTTGCCTCGTCATTTCTGTAAGGGCGTTGTAGAAGCCTCCGAGCGTCCCATCCTCTAGCCTCAATGGGTTGAAATTGCCTGTGAAATACGTCTCTTCTGTGTAACCACTCCTTTCTACCGTCAATGGGATTTCGCGCACGTCGACGGCCCGTCTCCCGGTCTCTGCGGCTTCGAAGACGGGCCTGATGTTGTCCCAGATTTCAGAAAAGGCCTGTTTGAAACCTTTGCCCATCAGCGAAGGATGGGCTTTGCCGGCGAGAGGAACGAAGCCTTCGTTGTATATGGAGACTTTGTCAGGGCCCCTCGGAGAGTATGTCAGTCAAGTCGCATTGGTGATTGTGACGGGTTTCGTACCAGTAGATGATGGCTGCGCGAGAGTCTGAGAGGACCTGATGGGTATAGAGACGAAGAGCATTGGGCCATTGATCGATGGGACCAAGAGGCGTCTCTTTCCAATTTGTGGACTTGAAAAAGCGGACATGATCCGTTTCAACAATGTCGTCGATCCAGTTGGCGCTGTTTAGAGGGAATGGGGGCCCATTGCTCGACTGTAGCGTTCGAGATTCCATCGTGACCGACGACAGGCCTCATACACATTCCGAGGGGCGCATACAAGGTCGCCGAATAGAGCTATGTCCTTTCCCCACCGCCCGTCAGGATGCAGAGGTGATTGTACTCGTACGGAGACGCGAAATGTCCCGGTGTCTAAAACGCGCTTCAAATCCCTCACGCCGTTTCACGGCCGGAGAGGGATCCGATTGCTTGGGTTCCATCTCGGTGGGAAATACCCCGTGTACCTCGAAGTGTCATTATATCCGGAACCTAAATGGCGTAACAAAATCAGATGTCGACGTGTTGTTGATTTGGTGGAGTTCGAAACACAGTTGTTGGTATACGATAGATCTAGAGCTATAGCACAGCACAGATTTGTCTATTTTGGTTCTTTGGCCTACCGAGATCAACCAATCGCATATGGCAGCCTGAACATGCACGATAAGGTAAGGTACCTTGCCTTATTTAATTATGCCAGGTTTGCCAGCAAGTACCGTGTGCACGGCTCACCTGATCATCTACAGTAACTCTTGCCGAGCCTCAAAAGATCGTACCCCTCGATATCGATCGGTGAATCATCTCGCTTATCCTACCGTACCTTGACCAACGCCCTTCTCGGTCGCCAATGAACAGGCTTCACCATGGTGGAACTCGCTGCTGTCACATGCAAAAAGATTGGCAATATCAAAATCAACGTTTATCCCCTGAGGTGGTGTGCTCCAACGTTGGCTTTTCTACGATAGGAAACATCTGACGCTTTTATTCAGAATCGGCAAGGTGTCTGCGGGGAATCATGCCGTCATGGCTATACATGCATCTTGCTTACCTATCAAGTCCGAGTTATATGCTCATACGCTGAAACACCCTTGGAGTCGGTTATACCGGTCATATCCTAGCTACCAATCCGCCCATACGTATACTGTATAGCGTATAGCGTATAGCGTATAGTGAGTACGTCATCATGAACATTTGCAGATACCACGCCGTCGGCACGCAGGCCGTTGTGCCAACTCTTTATTAGTAGATTGTGGTGAGACCTACAGGTTTGTTATCTCATGTCTTCTTTTAAGCCCATTTCGTCCTTGTCAATTCTGAAGCTCTACGGGAATCCCATCTCGTCCTGCTTTGACCGTCTTCTCAACTAAATCATGCTTCAAGACCGCTCCCCACCAACCACGGCAGATAGTCTTGCGCTTCATTCGAAGCATCCTGTCCCCTTTTTCGCCGAAGAGAGAGACG